CTGTTTCGTTACCATGGATACCACTGTGGCCTGGAATCCAGGCCACTGAAACATGGATTCCTTTAAGATGGCATCTGAATAGGGTATTTTTTATTTTAAGAATTAGTGGAATCTTATGTTTGTTGTGGAATTGATTGGACAAAATAGCTAACAAACAACTTTTTGAATCTGTGAAAATAACTGTTTTATTAAGATTATGTGACTCTACATATAACAAAGCTTCACTGATTGCAGTTGCTTCACCAGTAAAAGTGGAGGATAGTGAGGGGCATTTAAAGTTAAGAATGATTTTGAACTTAGGAATCCAAACAGCAGCTCCAGTATAGTCTTCATCAGAATGTTTTGAAGCGTCTGTGTACATGACAAGCCAATCTTTAAAGGTGTTTTCTATAATTTCTTTTAATTTCAAATTTGCCATTGGAGAATCCTTTTCTATACCTAGATCTAGATGAATGTCGGGTTGGTAAACAATAGCCTCGTAAGGAACATCAAAGAGTGGATTTATTTTGCATTGAAAGATTGGGTAAGGAAGCTGAAGAAAAATTACAAAACTTTTAAACAAGCAGGGAGAGTCCTTATGGGTCCAGTATCGGTCAGATGAGATATACTCTGAAAGAAGGTGCAATTTAGGAATTAGGGGATGATCTGAAAGTTGGCAGATCTTAAATAAGAATCTGTCTGAAAGGTATTGCCTTCTTAATCTTAAAGGAGGATCTACGCACTCAACCTGAAGAACATTTATTGGTGAGGATTTCATTGCCCCTGTAATAATGCGAAGGCATTTCGATTGAATTTTGTCCATTACTTTAAGGGATGATTTATTGCAAGGCTCCAACAGAAAACATCCATAGTCAAGGTGGCTTCGTATTAAAGCATTGTACAGTAATTTCTGAGAAAAAGGATGGGACCCCCACCAAACACCTGACAAAGACCGAAGAATATTTATGTTTTTTTCGCATTTTTGTGTTATGTATTCAATGTATGGACCGAAGGCCAATTTCGAATCAAGGATAACTCCCAAAAATTTAACATTGCCTCTAACTGGAATAGGTTGCTTATCATATACAACAGATATATCGGGAACTCGCCTTTGGCGGGAAAAGATCACCACACTACTCTTGGCCACAGATAAAGAGAGGCCATGATTAGTTAACCATTCTTGTAAATAATCCATGGATGAGTTTAGACGGGAACATGCCACTGTGAAGTTGTTTGAGGAGATGTATAGAGCTAAATCGTCTGCATATTGAAGAACATTACAAAAAGAATTTACTGAAAGTTCTAAATCGTGAGTATATATAGAATAAAGGAGAGGACTAAGAACTGAGCCTTGTGGAAGTCCTTTCCATATAGTTTTTGGGGGAAGCAGGAGATTTTTAACATTTATAGATATTGATCTAGAAGAGAGAAAGTTAGAGACGTAATTGACTATCCTCACTGGGATGCTCAGATTAAGCATTTTCTGCCTGAGCACAGGAAGAAGTACATTATCATATGCAGAAGAAATATCCAAGAAAACTCCTATGAGAAATTCATGTTTTGAGAAGGCAATATGAATATCTGTGACCAAGGTACTTAGGCTATCCATGGTACTTAAACCTTTTCGGAAACCGAATTGGCTTTTAGGTAAGAGATTATTCCTTTCCAAAAACCACTCCAAGCGATTTTTTATTAAATGTTCCAAGATTTTTGCCAAAGTACAAGATAGGGCAATAGGTCGGTAACTGGAAGGGTCATTGCTAGACTTACCTGGTTTGAGAATGGGCAAAATAATTTGGGTTTTCCATTCAGCAGGAGGATCACCAGTAATATAAATAAAATTTAAAATGGATAGTAAGACAGTTTTAGTGTTCTCACTACTATTAATTATAAACGAATAAGGAATCCCATCAATACCTGGTGAGGAGTCTTTAAGGCCATTGAGTACAGTAAACAATTCCTGAGAAGAAAAGGGGGAATCAAATTTATCATTTGTTTTTAAAAAAGCAGAATTAAAAACTAGGCATTCATCATAAGATGGGACTGTTTGTGGTGCAAGTTTATTAGAGAATTCATCTATCCACGGGGAAGGATCATTAGAAATTATATTTTCACTAGAAACTGCACAGCGATATTTTTTAACATTTCTCCAGACCAAAGATGGGGGAGTCCTAGGTGACAGTGACTCACAGAATTTAAACCAACCAGTTCGCTTTTTGTCTGACAGTAATTTTAAGGTTTCTGCAGCAATTTTTTTATAAGAGATATAATTCTCTGCAGTCATAGAACGGGAGTATATTAATTCAGCCTCTTTTCTTCTCCTACAAGCTGCTGAACAATCTTGGTCCCACCAAGGAGGGGAGGGATAATTATTTTTGAAAGGTTTTTTTAAGGGGATTGACTTATTAGCAGCAGAAATAATTGCATTTCTGAACTCTATATATACAGTAGCAATATTATCATTGTTAATTGGGGGAAGAGTTGAAACCTCTTGTTCCAAGACTTTAGAATATAATTGCCAATTAGCTTTGGATAGATTATACTTTAGTCTTGGGCAAAATGTAAAATTTATTCTAGGTGAAGTAGGAGGAGTGATGAATATAGGAAAATGGTCACTGCCATAGCTAGAAGGTAATATTTGCCACAAAAGAAGGGAAGCAATATCTGGAGAGCAGAGAGTTAGGTCAACGGCACTTCTAACATTTTGTAATGGGGATACTCGACGGGTAGGAGACCCATCATTTAGAATACAGAGATTAAAATTATCAATAAGATCTAAAAATAAGGGAGCCAGTGAATCACACAGATGGGAGCCCCAAACAGTATGATGCATATTAAAATCTCCCAAAATAACCATAGGAGGTGACAGAGAAGAGATAAGTGTTGCAAGTTCTGTTAAAACATTTACATCAGGATTAGGAATGTAAACAGAGAGAATAGAGACATCAAGGGCCTTAATAGCAACAGCATTTACTGCTGGACTATGAGAAGGGAGAGGAATTTGTGAAAATGTAACAGTTCTTGAAATTAAAATAGAGGTGCCAGCACGACCATCACTCCTATCATCCCGGAGGCATGCATAGCCTGAAACCCTAAAATGAGATTCAGGCCTAAGCCATGTCTCCTGGATGGCAAGAATGAAGGGATGAAATTTGTTAATGAGGTAAATGAGTTCATTTTTTTTATTTCTAATACTCCGACAATTCCATTGAAGAATTGGCGGGACTGCGAATGTTACGGGCTAAGGAGGAAAGCTGAGTAAGTTTTTGGTGTAAGCTGAGAGGAAGTTCCGTGTCACTAAAACGGGAGATCATGTTAATTAGAATTGATATCATAAGTTCGCAGAAATTATCAATACTAGAGGAGTTGTTGTCATTTCCCAGTAGAGCACACCCATTAGGAAGGGAAGAATTAGGATTCTCAACAATTGCTTGATGGGCTGCCATATCATATCCAGAATTTAATGGTGGGCTGCGGGTACGTTGAGGGATAAAAATTGTTTTTTTATATGATGCAGTTTGTGAGAGCTGAGCCGAAGGGGTTGAAAGACTGTCAGTTATAGTATAAGGGGTCTGTTGAGAACAATTACGAGGCTGGATTCTTGTTGTATCAGCAAAGGATCTTTTTGTCTGAGGGAATCTAGCTGAAGCTTCTAAATATGAAATATTTTCTTGTGACATAACAAGTTTAATAGATTTTTGCCTTAGATGTTCAGGACATGTAGGGTCTTTTGCGGTGTGGGGACCAGAGCAGAATAGGCAAGTAGGAGTTTGTCGAGTACAAGATAAACCTTCATGATTCTGTGCACATACAAAGCAGCGAGGAGATGATCGGCACTGGGAAGTAACATGGCCATATCTACAGCATTTATGACACTGAATTAGTGGCAAAACATATTTTTCCACTGGCATTGAGGTGTAAAAACAGTAAATATGGGGAGGAAGTTTTTGTCCAGAAAAAGTTAGAACAACCGTCTGAGTTGGAACCCATGAAACGCTATTGCTGTCACTCACTGATCGTCTATTAAGTCGCCGTGCTTTAATTATAGAACCGTATCCAGAGGGAATTTCTATAGCTGCTATTAATTCTTCTAGTGTCCATTCTATGGGAACTTGTCTAACTAGCCCCATACGAGTGATACTATATGAGGGGATGGTTGCTTCATATTTAGAAATTTGGAGAGCTGGGTGATCGATAAAGGTGTTTGCATCTGCAGCTGATTTAAACTCCACGGATATTCTATTTCGTCCAACTTTTTTGACTCCATCATGGACTATATTTTTAATATTGTTATGATACAGAAAGTGGCCGAATTTAATTGGTTTAAGAGTTACTCCAGACAGCTGATCATTTGAGATTTTACTTACGTGAACTAGAAAAGGAGCGGCATCATCTTGAGAGTACTTAACTTTTTTATTAATAAAATCAGGATGGGTATATGAGGATTGTATTGAAGGAAACTGTTGATTTGGATCAGTAATAACTATTTTTTGCGGATGGGCAGACTCGTTACTTACTTGGGCACGTTTACGTTTAATTAATTCTACATTATCAATGTTAGTGGGTAAGGAAAAGGAATCATTGCGAACCCTTCCGGGATCGGGAGGTTCGTCCTCCATTATATTACTACAACAAAAAATTACATAAAAACGGCACAACTACAAACACTTACTAATTTACAGATATTAAAACCTCCACCAAGACAGAAAAATTTACTATGGTAAATCAACAACACTTAATAAAACAATAAATTTTAAGCAAAAAAGGCACGACACTTGTATCTCTCACTTCCTCCGAAAAAACTCCCGAAAATCAATCGTTCGATCGTTCCTTGTTGCTTTTCTAGACACTTCCTTGCCCTAAAATCATCGATTCTTTGACAGCTGTCTAATTGAACAGTTGTGTTGGTGTTTTCTCCTACTCTAAATTTCGATTAAAAATCAATATTCACTGTGCATTTACATTCAAACTTCGCAAATATGTCTACTACGAAATGTTATCAGTGTGTGAAAAGCGTAAATATGGAGGATGCAGTGCAATGTGATGGGTGTAAACGACACTTGTGTTTTACTTGTAGTGGACTTACTAGCAGTGAAATCAAAGTAATGGGCCTAAAAACCAAACGTACAATGCTGTTCCTATGCAAACCATGTCGCGAGGGGCTGTTTCAAGTACCGATTTTAATAAAAGCTGTTGATGCATTGCGGGATGAAGTACAGCAGTTGCGATTGGAACTGGCATCGAAATCTGGCCTAACTGATGCCACTTCTGCTTCAAAAACCGTCACGTCCGATGTTATAGCGGAAATACGTGAGCGGGAGCGCCGAGCGTGCAATATTTTGATCGCGGGCACCAAGGAATCTGAGGCGGAAGATGTGCAAATACGCCAGAAACATGATGAAAATGTGGTGAACAATATTATTAGAAATCTAAACGACGAAATATCCCCAAGTGATGTGCTTAAAATTATAAGGCTAGGAAAAAGAGAAACAGGCAAGACTCGTTTGCTCAAAGTAGTGTTTAAGTCTCGCTGGGTAGCTGTCAAGGCACTTCAAAACAAACAAAAGTTGAGCAAACCGTTGCAAATCTACTGCGACCAAACACCAAAACAAGGAGAGGCCCTACAGGCTCTGCGTACCGAACTGCTGGCTAGGCAAGAGAAGGGTGAAACAGACATCACAATCAAATATGTCAAAGGAGAACCCAAAATTATAAAACAAAAAAACTAATCACTAACAACCCGTACGCTACACTCACATTTTTATACACTAACATCTGGTCTCTGAATACTAAGTTTGATTTACTGCTTCTTGAAATTCAAACAAAAAACCCTACATTTGTTTTACTTACGGAGACTTGGCTCAAAAGCATAGACAAGGGAGCCAGCATTTCGATTCCAGGTTACACACTATACAGATTAGACAGAAAAATAATTCCTGGAGGAAAATCAAGAGGTGGTGGTGTAGCAGTTTATGTACGGAAATTCATTAACAATGTACCAATAGTTGTAAAAAAAAAATAGTGCATACATGAGCGAATTGACAGAAGCATTATATCTTGATATTCAACTAAAATCACATCACTTTCTCTTAGTGGTTATATACAGAGCGGACAATGACAAGGAATGGAATATTAAGGACAAAATACTATATGAAAACTTAAGTACTGCATCTGCACACAACACCATGGTCATAGTTGGGGATTTTAATTACAGGGACATTGTTTGGCCTCTTTCTTATAATCAGAGCTTGCATGACTCAGCTCAGCTCTTTCAAAAATTCTACTTTGACTCAGCTCTATGCCAACTTGTCACTGAGCCAACCCGCTATCAATCCGGAAATATTCCCTCACTACTGGATTTGGTAATGACAAATGAGGAAGATCTTATCTCAGGCATTACCAACTCAGCTCCAATTGGTAAAAGTGATCACTGTGTAATTGAATTTCAAATTCAATACCTCATCTCAAGCCCTTCAGCGCAAGGATTATTTAGACGTGCTTTACATAAAATAAACTATGAGATTGTTAATGCAGAGCTCAAAAACAAGCTATGTAGTCATGACTGGAGTAAATCAGTTGATGAACAGTGGATGGCCCTGAAGGATGAAGTGGAAATTGTTTTAGACCGACATGCTCCTCTCAATATGGTTAAAAAAAAGAAAAATCTAAATAAACCCTGGATAAATGCTTCCATTGTCGAATTGACAAAACAGAAAAAGATTTTATGGGACTCATATGTGGCAGACAAGAAATGCGATACAAAATATAAGGCATACAGAGACTGCAATAACAGGTGTGTTAGTGAAGCAAGAAGACTTAGAAGTCTTTACGAAGCCAAGATTGTCGAGAGTGGAAACAAACCCTTCTATGCCCACCTACGCAGTTGCATGGCTTCTAAAGTTGGTCTGCCGCCTGTGGTACGTGATGAACTTGGCAATCTTGTGGTTGAAGGGTCTAAAATTGCCGAAGCATTTGCTTGTGAATTTGAGAAAACATACTCATTGGAACCTGACCTTAATAATATTTCCATACCTATACCAAGAGTTAAAAACTCCATAGATGACATCAAGTTCACATCACAGGATGTGCTTATGGTTCTCAAGTCCCTAAATGTAAACTCTGCTACTGGGCCTGATAATGTCCCTGGAGTATTTCTCCAATCATGCGCTGAAACCATCACACCTGTCTTGGTCAATATTTTGAATGAATCATATGCTTCAGGTGAGATACCAAAAAACTGGAGACATGCTATAGTAACACCTGTTTTTAAAAAGGGTGATAAATTAGATCCAGCTAACTACAGGCCAATCAGCTTAACTAGTATTGTTTGGAAATGTATGGAGAAGATTATATGTAAAAAAAGTAAAAAAAATCCTAGCAGATGAGAAAATTATTCCAGATAACCAGCATGGCTTTGTGGAACGGCGCTCGACTACAACTAACCTTCTTTCCTGCTACCACAGATGGACTGAGGAACTTGATAAACATAATATATTGGATATATTCTACCTGGACTTTGAACGGGCCTTTGACAAGGTACCACACAGACGTCTTTTGGTTAAATTGGAACATCTGGGTATCCGAGGAAATCTTCTGAAATGGATCAAAAATTATCTGAGTGGAAGAACCTTTCAGGTAAGAGTTGGTAATGTATATTCGCAACCTAAAGACGTCTTAAGTGGAGTGCCACAAGGATCTGTACTCGCTCCTACCCTCTTTGGCATTTTTGTTGCTGATCTGAGTTCTGTAATACACTCAGAAGCCTGTTTCTTTGCTGATGATGTGAAATACTTCGGAAATCCTCTATTGAGCCAGGGAACCTTAAGAGAAGACTTAGAGCGTATACAGGAGTGGACAAAAAATTGGGTTATAAGACTTAATCCTTCTAAGTGCACAGTTCTGCATCTAGGCCGAAACAATCCCAGAGAAATGTATAATATTGGAAATTCAACAGTACAGTCAGTCAACTCACACAAGGATTTAGGTGTCTTAATATCATCGGACCTCAAGTGGGCTTACCATATCCATAGTATTGTCAAAAAAGCAAACAGCATTTTGTATGCAATCAGACGATCGTTTCAGCATCTGACTCCAGATACATTGCTTAAGGTTTATAAAACATACGTCCGACCGCTGATAGAGTATGGATTTCAAATTTGGAACCCCTATTTTCTTAAGGATGTGGATTTGCTGGAGAGTGTACAGAGAAAAGCCACAAAAATTCCATTATGCCTTCGCAAAAAGCCATATGAAGAGAGATTAAAAATATTGAATCTAACAACGCTGAAATCTCGCCGTACCAGAGGAGACCTTATTGAAACCTGCAAAATATTGACACATAAATATAATTGCAAAGAGCTGCAACATATTTTTAACATCAGCAGTATCCACCGACCTAGACATCCTAACTATATGAGATTGGCCCACACCCGCTCATACACTACTGTGGGACATCACACACTAAACAACAGAATCATAAACATATGGAACAAGTTGCCTCAAGACTTGGTAGATGCTCCCTCTGTGATTAGTTTGAAAGTGTAAAGACAATCCAATTTAGTGTATTCCTAGTGTGAACTTGGACTAATATAAAACACCAACACAGATATAGGCATATCAGCTATAAGCTGCTCGCCTATTACTAAATAATAATAATAAAACCCTCTTAGAAATGAGGGGATGCCTGTGCCCAGCCGTGGGACGTATATAGGCTGTAACTTTACTTTTACTTTTATAACGACATACGCTGTTATTGGTAATTAAAAAGCAGTCAAGATAGACCACTACTTGAATTACTTGAAAGGGACAAAATGAGCCATATTTAAACACAGCAATTGTGGCTCTCCACACCAAATGCTGATTGAAAAAAAAACATTTATGGGAAATATTAAAAAAAAAAACTGCCTTCTGAACTGAAGTGATTTTGTGGACGTATCTTATAAGTAAAAAGTAAATTAAACGAAAATATATTTAGATTCCAATACCGATGAAAATATATTTATGAAATAACTTAACGTTATTTCTTTTTTCTACATTTTTAACTTGTATTAATCAAAGCAATTCTGTTAATGCATCTTTGCCAATAAATACAGTTGCAGTTTATTGATGCCCTTCTTGAATAAATCAGCTGAATAGTAGGCAACAAATTTTTCAAACGCAATTTTTTTCCCGCCAAAAAGTTATCCAAATTCTGGAAAAAGTAGAAGCCTGTAGGCGCAAAATCTGGTGAGTGCGGTGGATGACGGAGAGCTTCCAACCCCCGCTCTTATAACTTGGAGAGTCTTTTTTCTGACTCTATTTATGACTCTGTTGACGTCTGTTGTGCAGTATGAGGTTGCACATTGTCGTGCAGGAGCAGCGGGAATGAGCGATTGATCAAAACTGGTTGGAAACATGCGAGCTTCTCCATCATTGAGTTCAGTTCTTCACAGTACACATCTGCAGTTATACTCATCTTGTTTGGTAAGAAGCTGTAATGAGTCACACCTGCGCACACAGTAACCACCACTTTGCTGTGAGTAAGTTTTTGTTTAGGTACTGAACCAAGATCCAACCAACTCGCTGAGCGCTTGCAATTGGCCAATTTGGCCCAAATGGACCTATATTGTTATGGTGCTAACATTGAAAGCTGCCATAGATTGAGTATCATTGGCTTCCACAATGGTCTTTATCTCGTCATTGTCTACCAAAGCTTTTGTACGACCATAGGGTTAGTTTATCACATCGAAATTTCCAGAACTGAAGCTGACAAACCAATAACAGGTAGTGCGTTCGTTTGTAGTATTCACTCCTTAAATGTTGTTGATGTTGCGTGTGACTTATGCTACATTGCTGCCAAGACGGTACTCATATTCCATAAGTACTTGAATTTTTAACATATCCATGATGACAAAAAAGTTCTAAATGCAATGAAAACACAATAAACTAATGTTCAATTGTGAAAAAAGAATTCCTTAGCCAAACAAAGACTATTTTGATTTGTACTGTAGAACAGCAATTTCATAGGTAAAGATTATTATTTGCAATGATGAAGCATTTTTTCCATGCTTTCAATCTTTCCTTCATCCTGCAGGGTGATGTATTAGATGAATGATTTGATGCAGTGTAATGACTAATAGTAGTTTTGTATGGTTCTATTGAGTCAAATTTAAGTTATATTTCTCGGAAAATAAAATGGTTCGCAATTGCTATATGTAATGTAATACAACTTAAAAATATAATGTTGTATATTTCCATATGTATGTATATTTGTATATTTCCATATTAGTAGGTAGTAGTTTTTTAATTTCAATTTTTCAAAGATAAATTAAAGCACGATATTAATCGGTTACAGTGTAAGAAATAGTAATCTTACTCGTTTTAAGTTGTCCCTGGATGCTGGATGAAAGAATTTCTTGCACATATAATTATTAAATCCTTTGCCCATTTTTGTAGAGTATTAACTACAATAAATTAAGTGTGCAATTTTACAGTTATTAATGTTGATTGATTAATGATATTTATTGTTTTTGCATAAAATATGAGAGTAAACACAGAATATTTATAAAATATCGCTTCAAGATAAGAAACCTTTGTCTTTGAACAGAAATGTCAAATGATTACACCACAGCGTAGACAGCACAGAACACTATTACTCCAGGCCCGAGTGGCGAGAGGCAGAGAATGCTATCTCTGTCTACGTACCACAGACTAGGCTATGTAGTATGTACTATAATTATAAGAGGATACTATTGCAGTATTGCCAACATTAAAATCTAGATCCTGTTGTAGAGAACTATAATCACGTCAAAACCCTTCAAGTAGGGATTTTCGAGTTTTCATAAAATTAATATTAAAAATGAATTGATTTGATATCGATTCTCGACACACATGGATTATCAGAATCAATCTAAGAGAATAACCAACAAACCAAAGTATATGCATACTATACGTGCCTATGATACATTTTAGTAGCCCCGTTTAAAAAATCCGTTAACCGTTAAAAACAATTTTTTTCCCGTTGCCAACATCACTGACCCGTTAAATCTGACGGGAAACCCGTCAAGTTGGCGACACTGCTAGATTGCACCAAAGAGCATTTCATTGCATTCTTACACCAATACCATCAATTTTACCTATAAAATTTGGTGGTATTGGTGTAAGAAATCTTTCCAGCATCGCATTGCCTGCTTTCCTTGCTTCCATGCATAGTATCAATGACTTATGTAGCATAATTTTAAATAATAAAGTAGACCTGTGCTTTGCTGCGGAGGCAAGGCAAACATGGCTAACGCTCTGTCCAGGCGAAAATGTCCCACTGGAAGTTAACCAACAAAAACAGTGGGATATTCCGTTGGTACGGAGTGTCCAGAAAGATTTATTTCACAATTTCCAGTGACCAAGATCAGGCACGCCTTCTAGCTGTTTCGAATAAGTCACTGTCCCTTCAAGTAATCTTAGCACATTTCTTGATGGGGAAAGCTTGCGCATCGCCATTGGAAACCGTCTAGGAGCGGAAATTTATCAACCTCACCAGTGCCCCTGTGGTAGCAGCATCGATGACTTTAGGCTCCACGGACTTTCATGTAAGAAAAGTGCAGGTAGGTTTTCCCGTCACGGTTATTTGAACACAGTCATCCGAAGAGCTCTTGTCTCCATAAATATTCCCTCGGTTTTAGAGGTTTGCGTGATTGTTGCGGACGGCGAGTAGTAGATTGGTCCATCGCCCCGCACCGCACCCACGTCGACATGTCCCCCGCTCCCCCGCATTAGAACAAGGGCCCCGCGAGGACAAACACTCTCACCAACTCGGTGTCTACGACACACCGACCGATGCAATATAAGAAGCGCCTCTGGCGCGGCTTCGGCATTCGAGCGACAGCAAGCGGCCAAATCGGAACGAACAAGCAAGCAAGAAGCCCTCAAGATTCCTGATAGGTTTAGTGATAACTGTCGCAAATAATAATTGTTGTAAATAGTTTTAAATATAGTGATTTATTTCTTAACTGCTTTAATTTCAACTCAACCCTTGTTTAGTCAGACAGATGTCACAGGATTAGGTTCAGTTATAGTTTAAATTCATTTTCAATTTGCAATAGTAATCCCTAGCGTATACACAAGAATAAATAAATATTCATTCCACTTTGCTCTTATCCCCTACAGGGATATTTAGAGACGATGGCAAGAGACCCGACAGAATGACCTTGGTGCCTTGGGAGAGAGGTAAAGCCCTAGTGTGGGATGCTAATGCTACTTGCGTTGACACTTTGGTGGCCTCTCATCTCAGGGGTACCACTTTTAGAGCCGGCGCGGCAACAGAGGCAGCTGATATTTGTGCCATTTGCTGTAGAGACGTCCGTCGACGTCGACGAGAGTCCGTGGGGTTCACGTGCGGTAAAGTTCTTAAAGGAACTGTATCCAGGACTGGTCATCGCTGCTGATGATAAGAGGGCTGGTTCTTTTCTCGCTCAAAGGCTAAGTATAGATTTTATTTTATTTTTCTATATTATACTTTTTACATTGTGTGTAATGAATATTAAATGTAAATACTATGAAATATATCTGAACTACACCAAAGAATATAGTATGTAACTGGATTGCCCAGACTAATGGTAATTATATAGCGCATAGCGCCATATTATAGCGCGCTGTCTCTCCATAGCGCATAACACGTGCTATGTTAGTAGCCGCCATGACGCTTTGGCGCTATTAATATCTAGCGGCAACGTTCTAGCAGCAGTACTATTAAAAGTAGACGTGTGACGCTAATTTGATCTAGTAGTACGCTATTCATCGTAGGCGACTTATCTTAGTATTAGACGTTGTTTAGTTAGTGTATACTGTATATTTATAAGTGATCGATCGACACGGTTGTCTGTTACAATAGTATCCTAATTAATGTTTTTAAATGTAAATAAAATATATACACAAAGTGGTACTTTTGTGAATAAAATAGTGTATTTTTTTATATATTTTATTATAGTGTGTTTTCAAATTGCATGCCGATGTAAAGAATGGAAGTTTTTGTAATAAAACACTCTGGAAAAATTGGCATGCATCCCTCGTATGACCAACGGTGGAAAATTTCCGGAAAACCGAAACGTTGGGTATTAAAGTTAATATAAATAAAACGCGATAAAATCCGTAAAAGTAGTTTTAATCAATTCCGGAAAACTCTGTAAAATTGAACTCCGATTTTCCGTAATTCCAAACTGCATGCCATTGAAAGTATACTTAATTTGTATCATTATTTAATAGTAGAAAATTTGGCATACACACCAGGATGTTGCAAAATAGAGGCATGTATGGCGAAAGTTGCAAAAAACACTGTGCAAATTTAGGTGACTTGTTTTTGCATGCCGTTTTGTATTTCATGAATTTACATTATTTCAAGTCATGAACGTAAATGGCATGCATGTAGCTACAGCCCAACATACCAAAATTGTGGAAAAATTGAATAAACATCAATTTTTCAATTGAAACAAAAAACTGAAAAATGCCGTGACTTCTTCTTGCATGCCGCTTTGTATCGTGTTAGTAGATACTATTTTAAGCCGAAATGCGAAATGGCATGCATGTAGCTTCATGAAAATTGTTTAAATAAACAAAAAAACGAGGTTTAGTATTTTATAAGAGTAAGATAAGTTATATATGAAATAAATATTAACAAAATTTATTTTAATATAATTATAGGATTATTGAAAAGCTGCATTTTTCTCACTGATAAATCAGTTTTAACAAAAATACTGGAAACTTCGATAAAGATAACAAAAAACCCCGAAGAACATGGCGAGCCAGCACATATAGATGTTGTCATCATTGATGGAATGTTCTTATTGCATCAATTGAAGCAAGTACCTGCGACATTAGGGGCTGTAGCAATAAAAAATTTGAATTACGTCATTATGACAAATCCTTCTGCTAAGGAAATTTATCTGATTTTTGATGAATACTAGAGCCCATCCATCAAAGACAATGAACATCTCTTAAGAGATAATTTCACTGCGAAGTATGAGTTCAAAGGTAAATATATAAAAATATTAATAGAGTTTAATTAGGTTTTAATTAATTTTATTGTAATGAAGCTAATGTTTTTATTAGGTGCAGATCAGAAGCGACCACCTGATTTCGAAGCAGAATTAAAAAATATAAATTTCAAGAAATCCTTCATCCCCTTTATCATGGACTATTGGGCGTCAGAACGATCAGTGACGAATATAATAGGAGATAAGCAACTATATGTTTCTTTCGAGAGATGTCTACGGTACAAAGTAGATGACACATCGTCACTTGTTTGTGAGGTAATGCCCAATTTATAATGCGAAGGCCACGAGGAAGCAGAAACAGAAACTTTTTTATGCAATGTAGATTATAACAAATACTTATTGAAAGTTACTTTTTTCATTTACCACTGGTTCGCAAAAAAAACCTCTGTCCTGGGAAGAACCAACAAGAAACCCAGCGGGACTATTTTTTTTTCCAATAATAGCTTACAATCATGTTTACAATTAGCAACACAAGACAAATTAGAAATAGCTTGGTAGCGATCACCCTTCCTAGGGGTTATTATCATCCATAAATTCCTTAATATTATAATAACTCTTTTATACAAACTTAGTTTAATAACATTTTTGAACTTTGTGTATGATAAATTTTGTATATTTTCTGGGATTTTGTTGTAAAAGCGTATACATCGCCCCAAGAATGAATTACTGACTCGGTGGAGTCGAGTAACTGGTACCACTAGCTTGTGTCTGTTCCTAGTATTTTCAGAATGAATAGCACCTATTTTCACAAAACTACTTTTATTTTTGTGTACGTATATTACATTTTCATAAATGTATTGAGAGGCCAGAGTTAAAATATTAATTTCTTTAAATTTTTGTCTCAGTGACTCTTTTGGTTTTAAATTATATATTGCTCTAATGGCCCTCTTCTGTAAAATAAATATAATTTCAGTGTCAGTCGCGTGTCCCCATAGCAAAATACCAAACGACATAATGCTATGGAAATAACTAAAGTAAACTATTCTAGCTGTTTCAACATTGGTAAGAGTTCTAATCTTTTGTCTGCTAGCTAGTTTTGATATATGGAGGAGCCATTGAAGCTTTGCGTCCAGTGTGATTCCAAGAAAAATGGTGGTATCAACAAGACTCAGTTCCTCCCTATTTAAAATTACATTAGTATTGACATGTTTAACATTAGGAGTTACAAATTTCATACATTTAGTTTTAGTTCCATTCAAATACAAATTATTAACATTAAACCAACTATTCACTAATTTAGCTATAGCATTATTTACTTCGTCGTAATTTAATAACTGTCATTTTAATTTGAAAATTAATGAAGTATCATCAGCAAATAATACTATATCATGGTTATCCCCTACTATGTAAGGTAAGTCATTAATATATACAAGAAACAGAAAGGGGCCGAGAATTGAGCCCTGAGGCACGCCCATTTGTACAATCGACCCAGGAACCACACCAGATTCGATACTAGTATTAAAAATAATAGACAGTTGAGGTGCGATTGTATCTAGTATAGACACAATAACTTTAACAGAAATCCCCCACAGATCGGCGGTTCTCTTAATATCAATAGTCTTAAAATATTTTACAATATCTTTTGATGACACTTTATGAAATGTAAAATTCTTTGTACACACATTTACGTTGAAGTAATGATTCGGCGACGGCAGGAGAAGAATTCAATGACTTAGTGGTTAAGATCGGAATATCAGTAAAATATTTCTCAAAAACGATTGCAACGTCCTGATCTGATTTAGTTAATTTATTGTTAAAACTTAACTGGTAGTTTGAATTGCGAGAGTTGACCTTACCAGTTTCACTATTAATTATGCTCCATGTCATTTTAATTTTATTAGAAGCAGTCTTTATTTTGTTGCTCAAATACAATGATTTGGCTAAGGAGCACACTCTTTTAAATAAAAAGCAAAAGCAGACACAAAAATGGCGTTTTTCCTGTGTCAACTTAAAGAAGAAAAAGAAGTAGTGATCAAATGCTCTGACACGGATATCCTCGTCATCGTCCTTGCAAACATGGAACAACTACCAGCGTCACTGAAGGTTTGGACATTATTTGGCGCCGGAAACAATCGTCGTTACATTAACATAAACAAAGTGTATGACGTACTGGGAAGCAAAAAATGCTCAGGCTTATCGGCTTTCCATGCCTTAACCGGGTGCGATTTCAAACCTGCATTTTACCGCAAGGGAAAAGTAACCGTGGGAACCGTATTCTGCCAATGAAGATTTCCAAGAAGCTTTCATCGCATTGCAAAGCCCAGATAGCGACAATTACGAAAGTGCGTTTACCACGCTGGAGGACTTTGTCTGCAAAATGTACGCAACACCAAAAAATGGCCTCAGAAAATGCTCTAATGTAGACGAGGCTCGTCTACGAATATTTACGCAAACATATACAAACAAAATAGAGCCCACAGACGAGTTCAAGCAAAAGTTGATGAATTTCGATGCTTGCATATTACCACCTTGTAAACGTGAACTCCAACAACAACTTCTTCGAGCAGCGTACATTCGACATATGTGGAAAAATTATTTTTCTCCAGTGCCCAACGAGTCATTGAATGTAGAGGAATTCGGCTGGAAACTGGAAAATAACAGCTATTCCTTCCGGTGGTTCGAGGGTGATGACATTCTTCCTAATGTACAGGAAATTATTGAAGGTACTTATTTCTTTCTACTCATGCTTTTATCTTTTCACATTGGAGGTCATTATTCTACTAGAAATTTCATTACTGTACGATCAGTTGTTTTTTACTTATGTTTAAAAAATACGTAAAATCAGAATGATAACTGAAAAGCATGTTTTTCTTTAATTTTCATAGCCCCAAAAGAAAGCGTCGCTAATGACGAGGAAGTCATATCGATGTATCCAAATTTTGATGATGAAGAGGATGACAAATCGAATAATGACGATGACAGTGATTGCCAATCCGATATTGGCTACACAACGGAAGAAGAGTCCGTACATAGCCGCGATGATGATGATGATAATAATAATGATAATGTCGATAATGATGATGAAGCGGTTGATGATAATGATAATTAATAATACTTCTCGTTTAAAATAATGATGCTGCTCATAATTTTTTACTTTCATTTTTCATAAAAAATTTAGAAAAACAATAAAATTATAAAATCGGACCATTTTTTTTTTGGTTATTTAATCAATTATCATAAAGCTACATGCATGCCATTCTGCATTTTAACTTGAAATAGTATCTACTAACAAAATACAAAGCAGCATGCAATAAGAAGACACGGCATTTTTCAGATTTTTTTTTCAATTGAAAAATTGATGTTTATTCAATTTTTCACAATTTTGGTATGTTGGGCTGTAGCTAGATGCATGCCATTTACGTTTATGACTTGAAATAATGTAAATTCAAAGTCTTTATTCTTTATTCTAAATCTTTTTTGCAACTTTTATTATTATTTATAATACGATGGGCTTATTCAATATGCATGCCATTTGCATTAGATACTTATTTCGTTATAAAATTAATATTCATCCTTATTGGGAGTAATTTGGAATCACGGAAAATCGGAGTTCAATTTTTACAGAGTTTTCCCGAAATTTTCCACCGTTGGTCATACGAGAGGTGCATGCCAATTTTTCAGAGTGTTTTTATTACAAAAACTTTCATTCTTTACATCGGCATGCAATTTGAAAACACGGAATTGCCCTTTAATTTTTTTCAGGTTTTCAGAACCCTTTGATCATCTTGGGCCGCTGCGGGGTGCATGCCATCAATTATTAGAGCTTCAATTTGCTTGAACTTCCGTATATTACAATGGCATGCAGTATACTATCACGGAAAAACACGAAAATTCGCTACACAAAGAAAAGCGCTTTTCCTTATGAAGAGGACGCGCGGGGGGCTAAAGCCCCGACAATCTTTGATATTTTAGGGTTAGTTATTAAGCCTTAAAAAGGCATGCACGACAAAATCGTGGAACGTCACCTGTCACCAGCTCCCGGTCTATCTCTCTCTCATACTGGTACAAATAATGTAGAAATGGCTCCTTTTAGTAAAATTGATTTTAATTTACTTTTTTTTATACTTCTCAAGAAAATGTTTGCTCCAAGTTGTTGGGTTGTTCTTTGGATTTCAACTAAACCACCCACTTAATCTTAACCATTTTTTTCTAATTATAGAATCTGGAGGAAATCTGTTTAACAAACGGCGAAATAAAATTACATTTTTAGAACGCAAACCAAGCATAAACTTTCCTCTTTTTGTTGTGTGGGCAAGTCTATCGATTAATTATAAACATTCAAGATAAATATCGACAGTAATTTTGATATAGTTGAGTCAATCCCTAACGTACATGTAAAATATTTTGTATAAAATTGTATTTACCAAATTCATGCAAATATCAACAACGCGACTTTTTTCTTTGCACAGTATCAAAATTAATAAAATAATTGAAAATATTCTATATTTTAAACAGTATATAACATAAATTTTAAACAAAAATAGAGGCGTCTTATAGACGACGTCTTAAGAATTTACCTGAGAAATGTGAAATTATCAGGATTATTCCTATTATTAACACCACAGTACTTACGGAACAAGTAACCATTTTGGAAAACAATTATTTACTTATAATAATAGCTATTATATTCTAAAAAATTACAAAATCTAGGATTTCATTTTTGCCTGCCGACTTGTGCCAACCTGTCATTCCAAATCGGTTACAGTAATGAGACTTGCTATAATTTTCTATTTTACTATATTGCCATAAGGAATTTTCTTCTCATTTGCACACTATGTTCGTCTATTACTATCCTAAGTCTATGTAATCTATGTACTTGACCAAGGTAAGATATTATTATTATTGTTATAATCACAGATTTTCATTACAATATATAATTTCGCTGACAGTCGCTGTCGCTGACTGCCTCGTTGGTTTATTGGTTGTAGTAGTGCGACTGCTGATCATGAGGTCCTGGGTTCGAATTCCGGGTCGGGCGAAAGTTGATTTCGGATCGTTTTGAGACAATTCTGTTAAAAGTTTTTTCAATAAAAAAATTGAATCTCAATAATAATAGTATAGTAAAATCAAAAAAAAAATCTATTGTCGATTGATAATTTTTGTCTAAATGTTTTCACGATCATATGAGAATTATGAGTCGTGCACATTTGAATTTTCAAAAAAAATTTTATTGACGTTTGATATAAAATTATCGGAAAATTAGAATTGATAGTAGCAAGGTTGTTTGTGAAAACTTGTGTCTATTTAAAATACTTCAAAAAATTGACGTATAACATGAGCGCTTAATTTATTATTATTAGGATTTAAAAGTTTTATTTTATTATTTTACCAAGCATATTATATCAACATGTATTTACAGCCGTGTTATTTAATGTGATAACCTAATCGCCACCCTGTATATATATATAAAATTAATCCATTTAAAATTTATATAAACATTAAGTTTATTCGCTAAATGATTGGTATTTATAGTAGTAATTAATTAAGTCCTGTTTTGAGGTATACCTCAAAACCTGAAACTAAGTTGTACAACCAGTGCGTGTTGCCAGTGATGACCTACGAAACCAAGACACGATCCTTCACTGCTGGCCGTATGAGGACGCTCAAAGTCGCTCAGCGAGCTATGGAGAGGGCTATGCTCGGAGTTTCTCTGCGTGATAAACTTGGAAATGAGGATATCCGCAGTAGAACCAGAATGACCGACATAGCCCAATGGATTAGTAAGCTGAAGTGGCAATGGGCCGACCATATAGCTCGAAGAACCGACAACCGTTTGGGAAAAAAGGTTCTCGAGTGGCAGCCTCGTACCGGTAGGCGAAGTGTAGGGCGACCCCCCACTAGATGGAGTGACGACCTGGTAAGAAATGCAGGAAGTCGATGGATGCAGGTGGCTCAGGGACGTGCTTTGTGGCATACCTTGGGGGAGGCCTATGTTCAGCAGTGGACTTGTGAAGGGCTGTAATGATGATGATGAAGTCCTGTCTTTATTGTGATATTCACCTTTTCATCGATAATATTGTTACGCGCCTAAGTTGATGTCAGGTACCTGGCACTAGCGCTTGGTTAGTAGCGTTATAAAAAATGAAAATTCAACAATAAATTCAAAATGAATATTATTTACGGAAAAAGTTATGCAAATGCAACAAAAATTACCTAAGGGATGTAATAAATGTACAAGCAAGGTAAAACTATGAAAAATATAATATTAATACAAAAAACTCCCTACAATCAAAAAAAAAACTCGTCACTTCCCAATTTTTGTCGTCGGCTATGATATCCGAATGAAAGACAGGCGCGAGTTCACGTTTTGGCAGATAGGTATGAGCTGGTAGAGTCACGTTTTAAAGTTGTCTAGGATGGGCTAGAATTGACAGAATTTGAAATATGATGCCTGTGTCATTTTGTGCGTGTATATCATTTTGTACGTAATTCCCCTATGTTGTAGTAGTCTAACTTTGAATTTATTGATAGCTGATGCAGACAAAACTTACGTTAAAACAGCTTATTTTTTCGGATTTTTCCAAATCTATTTGCCAAAATTGATTCGGTTATTTTTTTAATTTAAGGTCATTTATTGATTTTTGTTCACTGTTCCTTTGGCGCCGACTCAAAATTACTTAGGTATTACACATATTTATACATTAGTTTAAGAACTTAGTTATTAACGTTAATTAAAAACGTAAAAGAAAAAGGTTTATTATTTTTTGCTTTTCAGTTTTTTCGGCGGTTTAATTTTTTTGTTTAAAAAGTTTTTATTAACACTGTCTGCAGCATAATGGTTTAAATAAAAGTTGTGAAACAAAATTATTAACTTATTATTTCCCATTTATATAAGTTATCACTGCAGCAGGGCAAGCACAGTGGCGTTTTCTTATAGAAGTGGGTAAGCGAGCATGCGGCACACCCGATGGAATTGCAAATATGTTGCCGGCCTTTTAGGAAGAAGTAAGCTTTTTTCTTTAAAGTCCCTAAGTAGTATCGGTCCGAAAAATCTATGGTGGTAAACAATTCCTCAAAGAGGTCATAAGATGAAGAAAACTCCTAGTAAAACGCACTGTGGTTGACCACTAAACATCCAGATGCGTTCGTGAATTTTGGCGGCTAGAATTAATCCAAGCATATAGACCTCTCCCCGTGGTAAATGCGATAAAAATACAAAGGAATAAAACATCCCTTCGCAACGTCAGTGAATCGTGAGCCGATCAGAAAGAACTCGGTCGGCGATATTCGTGCCGCTCTGCGTTGGATGTGGTCAAGTGGATGAAGGTGGCACTAAAGTGCTCCAGCCCAGAGATGAAAACAGTATTCCAAGTGAGGCCGAGCTTGCATCTTGTAAAGTTACAAGCGATGTCACGCCACCAAGCCACCAAGAAATACTGTCCCGCTATGCTGAGCATGCCAAGATTTTTAGAGGCCGAGCCTTTTAGCCTTCCCTTCCAAGTGACGATGAAACTGCACATTATTTGATACGTCGACGATTCTGATTTCAATGCAGCAAGAGGAGTGCACTGAAATTGAAGACATATGACAAAGGGGTTCTTTTTAGCGGTAAACGCGCAAACCTGTCTGGAATGGATATAATTTATTTAAGGGGAAATATTAAAAATACTACCACAAATGGCTTAGCAAGATCCTCCGTTATGCCGAAAATATTGCAGCATTAATTTTGAAATAAATATATGGTGAAGTTGAGAATTAATGTTAAGTACTATGTTAGACGAAAACACGATTCCGTAAAATTTTCTCGATAGAAAAAAATCAAAAATTACCTCCAAACTTAACAATAAATCGCTGTTATTCATAAAATACTTTAAATTAGATAATCAAACTTTGCATACTAACTGAACCAACTATAAAGCAGGGCTTATGTTTTTTATTTTTTTTTAATTTCCATTATTTTCACTTTAAAAAGAATTTACCTGAACTATCGGCATCTTGAAGCTTGTTTTCTGCCGCCCGGTCAGTCCACAGAGTACCTTTGGTCAGTCTCGCTTCGACCTTTGAAGGGGGAAGCTGTATCCTTTACGATCAGAATACACATTATAGTTC